CAAAATAAAACAAATGGTTTGAAACACAAATGTGCAAACACAAAGAAACAATGCAAAGGGTGCAAAAGTGGTTGTGGATAAATGAGAACAATTCAAACATCATCATGGTGTGGATAATAATGATGATAATGGTGGTGATGATGATGATGATGAAACCAGTCCTGCGGTAAAGACAAATAAGGGCAATGACAATGCTGCACCAACCGTATTAAATGATGATATTGGTCCAGGTAACAGGTTTTCTAATGTTGGTGATAAAACATGCTGGCCACTCCAGCCACAGGTTTTCAAGGTCGTGAACTTCGTACGCTTGCCTAAAGGTAAAGGCTGAAAGGGCTGCTTTAACTGCTATGGTAGCTACACTCAAATCAAAACATAATTCGGAGGCTCAGGAGGAGCAAATCAAAAGCAAAAAGGAGTTGATTGAATTGCAAAGTCAAATTGCTGCTCATACTGCAGAAGTTACTCTACTGATGATGATCCAAATCATCACATTTCTATACATATCCCATGGATATTTTTAACTTTAACGACACCGGGTAACAACACCCCATCCTGGCTGAGCTCAGGAGGCGACACAGGGGCTGCAAGGCTAAGCTAAAGGCTAGGCTAGCGGACAACCTAAGGTGCTACAAACTATCGATTCTGCTCGTAATCATGGGGAATGCGAAGTCGCTGCCAAATAAGATAGACGAACTGTCCGCAACTGTCCGCTGAACAACCAGTGGATTTGCCGTGAGAGCAGCTTGTTCATCTTTACGGAGGCGTGGCTAACGTGGACCTGGTGGGATTCACTGCTGTGGGAGCCGACAGAGACAATAAAAAGCAAAGGTACTCATCATGTACGTGAACGGCCGCCGGTGTAACCCAGGACATATCTTCGTGAAGACGGCCCTGTGTTGTCCGGACCTCGAGCTGCTACCTGTTAGCCAGCAGCCATATTATCTGCCGAGGGAGTTTAGTCACGTGATCACCATCTATGTTTACATCCCTCCGAGAATGGATGCAGCCACTGCATGTGAGAAGATTAATTCCGTCAAAGCAAGGCTGCAGACACAGCACCCTGAGGCATTTGTGATAAATTCTGGGGACATTAATCGTGCTTAAGGACACTACGTCTGACACTGTGATCAGCAGCACTGGAGCACCCCAGGGCACGGTGCTGGCTCCTCTTCTCTTCACCCTGTACACCTCAGACTTCTGCTACAACTCTTAGCTGTGTCACATCCAGAAGTTTGCCGATGACACAGCCATCGTTGGTTGCATCAGGGACGACAGAGAGGAGGAGTATAAGAGCCTCAAAAACAAAGGAGCTGGTCATTGAATTTAGGAAGTCTAGACCAAGACCGCAACCAATTCTGTTTGAGGGAGTTGAGGTGGAAGCTGTAGATTCCTACAAGTACCTCGGGCTGTGGCTGGACAGTAAAATGGACTGGACAACTCACACTAAACATCTGTACAGGAAGGGACAGAGCAGGCTGTACTTCCTGAGGAGACTGCGGTCTTTTAACATCTGCAGGAAACTCATGTGGATGTTCTACCAGACTGTGGTCGCCAGTGTCCTTTTCTACACAGTGAGGTGCTGGGGGGGCAGCACATCCAAGAAGTACATATCCAGGCTGGACAGACTCATCAGGCAGGCCAGCTCTGTGGTCGGCATGAAGCTGGACTCTCTGGTGTCAGTGGCAGAGAAGAGAACACTTAAAAAGCTGCTGGACATCATGGGGGATGCCAGTCACTCTCTGCACATCGTCATCAGCGACCAGAAGAGCCTGTTCAGCAAAAGACTGCTTCTTCCCAAATGCAGAACTAACAGACTAAAAAACTCCTTTGTCCCTCATGCCATCAGAATGTACAACTCCTCATCCGGGGGGAGGAGGGGTATCAGGTTCACAGAGGATGGGAAGAAGCAGTAGCCACTAACAACTACCCATAACACAATGGATACTGTGCAATAGGCTTTAAACACTTGCAACTGTGCAATAGGTTTTTAAACACTGGCCACTGTGCAATATCCTCAACACAAGGTTTTTAACAACATGTCAATAGTTTTACTGTCCTTTTTACTATTTGTCTCTTATTATTTTTATTATTTGTTTTCATTTCCTGTAATGCTGCTGGAATTTTAATTTCCCTGAGGGAGTCTTCACAAGGGATCAATAAAGTTCGATCTAATCTAATCTAATGCTGAAGTCCTTGGGCAAGATGCTGAACCCTGAATTGCCCCATAGAACAAAAAAGTGCTGCTAATAGATGCACTGTATGAATGTGTGTGTGAATGGGTGAATGGCAAACTGTAGTGTAAAGAACTTTGAGTGGTCATCTAGAATAGAAGGGTGCTATATTAATACAAACCATTTACCATTTAAAAGGAGTGGGGAACATCTGGGCTATATGCGGTCAGCAAGACAGTTAGATCCGACCAGCAAGGCAATTCATAGATACCAAAATAGATATATAAATAAAATATAAACAAACTAAAATGACAACAATGACCTTTTTCCTGTTATAAAAAAAAAAATACATAAAAGAGCAGTGTCAGCTGTATGCCTCTCCGGGTCACATGATTCACCTCACAAAATATTCCATCAACAAGCACGTAACATTAGAGGTTATATGTCATCACTGACATGCATCATGGTGACTGTTAAGAAATAGAAAATAGATGGGATCCCTTTAGATACGACCTCATCCTCCCTGATCCATGCCCAGCTACACTGCCACCACACCTGCTGCCGACAACTTGCTAACTCATGAAGCATGATTATGATCGCTAAAAGTGTCGCTTGGCTCACCTACTCCATGCCGCTATGCCTCATCTCTGGACAGACAAGGATCTCATCAGCCTCTAGAGCCGCAAAAGAGGTCAGTCAAAAATAACTTTTCCAGATGCTGTCACACGCTGACAAGAAGAGGATTAAGCTTCTTTTCCCCAGTCATTCCTTCCTCCGCTCCTAACAAAGCTACAGCATAAAAGAAGTACATCACCGCAGTCTCGGCAAAAGCTTGGTGCTGCACCGGCTGCTCAGGCTAGCGCTAGCTGCTCTGGCTAGCATCGCGGCTAGTGAGCGACTCCAATGGCAGGCTGAAGACCCAGTCCTCGCGTACCGATCAACAACCAGTCCTCCCTCAGGGAGACTGACGCCCGCCCCCATGTCCGGGGGAACCTAGACAACTCTCCATAAACTTCAACATGGCATCCCTGTGAGCACGCCCGGTAGAGCACTGCTAATCAACGTCACGCTGCAAAGATTTCTAGGAACTGCAGTTCCTACAACTTCTTCGGGAGTCTCATTCTTCCCACCCGCTGCTGCAGCATCTCTTCAGCTTTGTAATCAAACCCATGCAGTATTGCGGAGATGGCTTCTATAAGCTGCGTGCCATCATGCACACTCTCAAAAGTGTCTAATGTATCAGACCTTGGCAAAGCTCTACAGAAGCACTCAAATGGCATTTTGTTAATTACTTAATTACTGGTTCGGTCGAAGGTTTTCTTCGGTTCAAGCGTTCTGCCAAAAGTATTACATGCCTGTATTAATCTCCTATCAGCTTGACAAGTTAGTGTCTAAGGAGATGGATAAGGGGCCCATCTGTTGATCCTTCATTCCCATATTTGCATAAATCCATCGGCATGGCAATGCAGAAATATTCAGGTAAAC